TTACTGACCAGCAGAAAGTGCAAGAACTTTTCAGGGATGTGCATCTGGGTGATCGCAAGCCGACGCAACTGCTTCGTCAGATGAAGCAGCTGATTGCTGACTTCAACATTGATGAAGCATTTCTCAAGCAACTGTGGTTACAGAGGTTACCACAGTCGGTTCAAGGGATCCTCGCACCCTTCCATAAGTGTCCCTTAATAGAGTTGGCGGAAGCGGCTGACAGAGCTGTGGATGCTACGAAACCCAACACTAGTATCTCAGCTGCACTGTCTACTGCCACGGATTCGTTCAAAAATCCTCCCTCGGCTGTTGAGCCAACAAGTTTCGATGTTATAACTCACATCTCAAAATTGTATGAAGAGTTGTGCAGCATCAGGAACGAAATGCGGTCTGGTAGTTCTTACAAAGGTCGCACGTCTCGCTCGCGCAACAGGTCTGCCTCCCGTACCGATAGCAGACGTTCCAAATCGCGACAATCACAACCCAGGTTGTGCTGGTACCATAAACGTTATGGTGCCAATGCCAAAAAGTGCACTCGACCTTGCACCTTCGAGGCTAACCAGGCGGGAAACGTGTGAGCCAGCACGTGACGGCGACTAACGTCGCTGGCGAGCCACTTCCATGTCGCCTCTTCTTCGTCACTGATCGACATTCTGGGATACGCTTCCTAGTTGACACTGGGGCAGAAGCTAGCGTCATCCCACCTACGAAGGAAGAGCGTCTGCGGCCAATGTCTCTGCAACTTCGTGCCGCCAACGGTTCGCCCATCACAACCTATGGTCGGAGATTCCTCGATCTCAACCTTGGATTGCGTCGTCCCTTTCGTTGGGTTTTCATAGTGGCAGATGTGACCACCGGCATTATTGGTATGGATCTCTTGCAGCACTATCAGCTGCTGGTAGATGCTGGCAAGCATAAGTTGATAGATTCTACCACAACACTCTCTGTTTCCGGTATAGTCACAAAGACGCCGCCCCTCAGTCCCGTGTACTGCACGACGGACGCTTCTAGTCCCTACGCGTCTATCATTCAGTCCTTTCCGGATGTCTTTAAGCCAAGTCGTTGTGTCCCTTGTGTGACTTCGAACGTTTCTCATCACATAACGACGACTGGCCCGCCAGTATTTGCGAAACCACGGCGATTATCCCCGGAGAAACTGCGTGCTGTAAAAGCCGAGTTCGAACACATGCTTGAAATGGGAATAATCAGACCATCCAACAGTCCATGGTCTTCACCCTTGCATGTGGTACCCAAGAACAATGGCATGGACTGGAGGCCTTGTGGTGACTACCGAAGGCTCAACGCTAAAACGATTCCAGATCGTTACCCAGTCCCTCACATTCACGACTTGACTGCATCTTTAAAAGGCTCGGTTATCTTCAGTAAGCTTGACTTGACGCGTGCATATCATCAGATCCCGGTTCATCCTGATGATGTTCCCAAGACAGCCGTCATTACACCGTTTGGTCTTTTTGAGTTCCTCCGTATGCCTTTTGGTCTTCGCAATGCAGCACAAACCTTCCAACGTTTTATTCACGATGTTTTACGTGGACTCGATTTCGCCTATGCCTACCTAGACGATATACTAATCGCTAGTCCAGACGAAGACACCCATTTTAACCACTTGAAACAGGTTTTCGCCAGACTGTCAGAGCATTCGATGACAGTCAACCTGGCCAAATGCCAATTGGCGTTCGTTCACTAAAATTTTTGGGACACGTTATCGACGAGCAAGGCATTCGCCCACTACCTGAAAAGGTACAGGCGATCCAAGACTTCCCAGTCCCAGCGTCACTTAAAGCTCTGCGTGTGTTTCTGGGTATGGTGAGCTATTATCGTCGCTTCATTCCCCAATGTGCACACATTTTGACTGCACTGACCGACCTGCTGAAAAGTAAATGTAAAACTTTCAGCTTGACTCCGGAGGCACTAGAAGCATTTCGCAAGATCAAAACCGCAATAGCAGACGCCACGATGCTGGTGCATCAAGACGTAAACCTACCTCTTAGCATTGCGGTTGACGCCTCTAACACGGCCATTGGAGCTGTGTTGCAACAACTTTCGGATCACACTTGGATCCCAGTTGCATTCTTCTCCGGAAGTTATCCACCTGCGAAATGCGGTACAGCACTTTCGGCAGGGAACTGCTCGCCATATATGCCTCAGTGAAACATTTTCGTCATTTTGTGGAAGGTCGTGACTTCATCATCTTTACCGACCATAAACCTCTGACGTATGCCTTACACACCACTACTGACAGATATTCACCGCGTGAATTACGTCACCTAGATTATATTTCGCAATTCACGTCGGACATCCGTCATATTTCTGGTGTGAATAACCCTGTCGCGGACGCACTGTCTCGCGTTTGCACCACTACTTTGCCTCGAGCAGTCGACTTACGGAAGATTGCCGAACTTCAGGATTCAGACGAGGAGATTGAAAAACTTCAACACTCATCCTCTCTGAAGATACAGCGTCTACCGCTCCTGAACAGTGAAGTGTCAATATTGTGCGACACCTCCACAGGCACACCCAGACCGGTTGTTCCTTTATCCTTGCGTAAGCATGTTTTTGATGCTTTGCACAATCTTTCACATCCTGGCATCCGCGCCACTGACAAGCTCATATCTGCTAGGTTTGTTTGGCCTGGTATTAACCGTGATGTTCGAAACTGGACACGGTCATGTATTCAGTGCCAACGTTCCAAGGTGAATCGTCACAACATCCCACCACTTGGAACTTTCGCCAAACCTGACTCACGATTCGCTCATGTCCACTTAGACATTGTCGGCCCACTTCCACCCTCCGATGGATATAGTTACCTACTGACATGTGTCGATAGGTTTACTCGCTGGCCGTTAGCCATCCCACTGTCTAACATTACTGCCGAAACAGTAAGTCGGGTTTTCGTCGAAGGATGGGTTTCACAGTTTGGATGCCCTTCCACCGTGACAACCGACAGAGGCCAACAGTTCGAATCCGCTACCTTCCAGAAGCTGATGAATCTGTTGGGATGCAAACGCATCCGCACTACCGCATATCATCCAGCTTCCAATGGTTTGGTGGAGCGATTCCACCGACACCTTAAGAGCGCACTAATGGCAGTCGACAATATGAAATGGACTGAGTCTCTGCCGTTGGTTCTTCTCAGCATCCGTTCTACACTCAAGACTGATATACAGTGTACACCTGCTGAGTTAGTTTACGGTGGTAACTTACGTTTGCCGGGTGAGATGGTCGCTTCAGACTGCAGTGACCCAACTCCTACCGATATCCATGGCTATGCTCAAACTCTTAAGTTACACATGCGTCGCCTCCAACCCTCATCCACACGGATACAGTGTAGACGGGTGCAGCTGGATAAAAGACTCCAAGATTGCACTCACGTCTTTGTGCGTTGTGACGGTGTACGTAAGCCCTTACAGCCACCATACGACGGACCCTTCAAGGTTCTCAGTAGGAAAGAAAAGTTTTTCGTCATTGACAGATCTGGACGGCAGGATTCTATAAGTGTCGATCGTTTGAAGGCAGCTTATATAGAGGACGACCCGCCTTCCTCTACACCGACACAACTAGAAAAACCCTTGCCGCCGGACTCCCTAACAGACTCGTTTAGTCGCGCGTATCCTGAACCTTCTAAAAGAGCCACGTCTAGTAACACTGATCCAGTACCCTCTACACGTGCTGGGAGGCGTGTACATTGGCCCAAGCGATACGCCGAGTTCGTTAATTAGCCCCTGAGCAACTTCACACTTGGTGAATTCGGAGTTTCAACTACTTTGTCGTGGCATACACTTTCAATGCGTTTTCATACCTAAAGTTTTCAAAAGTCATGTTTACTACTTTGCAAACAGTTTTTTTTCAAAAAAAAAAAGAAAAACCAAAAATACAATTTAAATTCCGAAAACTTTTTTTGGTTGGTTATTATTTTTTTTCTGTACTCCTCCCACTTCGAATTGTTTGGTTTTCGTTTTCTTAGCACTCTAATGTCCCATTTCTTTCTTCTTGCAGAACCTAGAAAATGCGTTGAAAATTGGATACAATTGGCCGCTGACGATGCTACTTGGATCGTTCTTCGGTTCTCTTTGTACCAATTTCCCCCTGTACACTCCCCGGTAGATTAAGAAGCAATAGGGAAAAGTAGACGGAGGCTTTGGGTCACCTTCCACCACTGCGAGAAGGGTTGCGTCTAGACGCAAAGTTATCTTACCTCGTAGGTGTGCATAGTTGCACTAGCTTCGGAGACCCACACGTCACCTACTCCATCACCAATATGGAAAGGTGTTGCGTGTCCGCCTCGCAGTCGCCTCCTAGGATCGAAGGTTGCCGGTATCCCAACAACCTTCTAGGAGGGGGATAACCTGTAGTGCACCTTCCTGGCACCAAAATATAACTAGGGCTAAAATAAATAGTTTAAATTAAATTAACTAAATAAATCTCTAGCTTGCCTCCGGATGCTTAGGGTGTTTTAAGTTTTGTTTTAACGAGCATGCATCCGAGCAGGCTTGGACGCCATTTTTGCGCTCCATTGTGCTGATCACCACGCACGTACTCCGAGTCCCTAGTTCAGCCTTACAAGCCAGATAAGTTGATTAAACTTTTCCCTCATTCATTATTATAACATTTACCTTAAATACATAGCTCCTTTAAATACATTGCGTATCAGTTCTTTTGATTTGTGTTTTGTTACCAGTACTTACACGTTAGGTAAAGTACTGGTTAAGCAGGTACTAGAGCACATCAAATTAAGTAGGGTTGATCAAACGTTACAGAATTGTAACACGCATCCCTACAGTCTTGTGAGCAGTGTTAGGCTTTGGAACACCTTAATCTTAGGAAACTGCTACGTAGTGTATTTTAATTGTACCGTGATTTATATTTCAGTTACAAGGTATCATCATATACTTTTAAGTCGAAATCCCTACATGACTATTCTATATATTTTTCACTTACGATTCAACTATTTAGTTCTTTGTTCTCCTTGTGTCTTTCCACAGAGAATTCCAGTACTGCAGATTCAACAAGTATAAAAACATCATCACAGGAAAGTTGGAAAGCTCTCCCAAAGGTTATAGATCTCGTTGAATGCCTTGATGCCCAATCTGCAACAGTTGAACCTTTACCTGATATGAAGTGTCCTAAGTGTCAAAAATCCTCCACATCAAAATCTTGTTCACAAAATAACTGTCAACGTGAACAATGGATAACACATACTCCGAAATACTTAGTTTTGTACATACAGAGAAGTGATTGGTTAAATATATCTAGTTCATCTGTAGGATCAAATAATACTAATCAATTTAATCGAAATTCCTTTCCAACTGCTAGAATTGCTACTAAACGTTCTGAACATGTACATATTCCTGAGTGTCTAGATATGGCACCTTATTTGTCAGAAAACAAGATTTCAAAACGTACAACTTCATCTCAGACTACAGATTTACGCGGAAATAAGGTTGTTGAACTTTCATCTCCTAGGACTATGCGATTATCACAAGGCGAGTAAGTCTTGAGTCATGCTGTCAAAGAAATTATTTGTTTTTTAAACTGACGAGATATTTCTGCCTTGGTTTTTAGTTCAGCAGCGTTATCACTTTTTCCCATTTAGTGTGGATTTTTTCGGACGATAAGGACTTTATCTCAGCTTCGTTAGAAACTTATTAGTTAGGTGCAACTCAGAAGACTTAACTAACTCTTGTTGACCCTTCATCTTATACTCCACGCATTTCACTAAGCAATAGCTTTAGTTCGTATAAGATAGATGTTATTTGAAACCTAGTCCACAACATTGTACTTTACTGCTGATTAACACTAGCCGTTCATTCATGTGTATAGGATTTGTACCCATGTTAAAGTAGTTACTTCTTTCCAGATATAATTATAAAAGAATAATCTGTTGAATTCAAAGAGTGCAATCCAAAGTAGGATCTACACTCACTTGTTTCATGGGTTCTCATCAGTTGCATACAACTACCAAAGAATGTGTAAACCAGTGAATGGGAATCGAAAACACCTTGTATGTGGGTTATTTTGTTTAGTTGGGTGATTAGGAAGCACAAGATAAGCACAAAACGTATTGAAGAACAATGGGGGATGGATGATCTAGATAGTCACACTTTTTGTAACCTATAATGACAGATTTTATAGAGTTAGGAGGAAAAGATCAAAATTGTGAATAAGTGAACCACAACTGATCATACGTGATCAAGGTCAAAATGACAAAGGAGTGGATGAAATTGAAAGCAATAACTGATCATAACACCAATGATATCGATGTCATATAAGGAGGGACAAAGGGAAACAGTGAATTGCAGTCTGAAGGTTTGGAAAGTATGACTGAATCACACGAGACATAGATAAATAAGTGGGTATAACATTGAAAAACATCTTGTTTCGATTTCATATATCAGACTGAGTACTCCCAACTGCACTGAATTTACGAGATCAAAGTACAGTCATTATTTCTTATCCATTTATAATTTTATAGTGTTTGCATGTTTCAACGCCATACCCCCCATGACGAGCTGTTGCACTGTTGGAGGAATTGAAGCCTTTTAGATTTCTGAAGAAGTGATCAGAAATCCAAGTAATGGTCTATTTTTATGGCGGGTTTACTTCCACATATATATGAGTTAGTTGATAGGAAGGTCACATAGTGATAAGACTTTCCTATGGTGGATTGCATGCTAAACCATACGATTCATTGAAACCTAGTTAGCAGCTGGATGAGGTCTTAACAACATCTTCCTCTCTGAGGACTAGTAATATAAAATCAGCCTCTTTCTCAGTACTATTTTGACTTTCTTACACTACTTTAACGATTTTTACCAATGTGTATCATAGAATATCGACTACTAAAATTGACAGTGTCAAGTTAGTCCATGATCAGCTGGAAGAATATTTTAGAAACAGAGCTTTTCTACCATCTGAGTGTTTTTGTCAACACTTTCTTATACATGATCAAGCAAAAATCTTCAACAACTAGGTGCTCACCAACTGATGTTGATTTTAGTCAATGTTACTCCCATTTATGCTACTTTTGCATATGCATTACATGTTGGTCGGATCAATCAGATTCAAAGGATTTGCACTTTCACTCACTGCGGTCAAGTTGATATTTTATGACTATTATATTGAAGGTATCACTGAAACACTAGCTGACTACTACAGCTTATTGGAAGATAAGAATTATCTTCAATAATTAGAAGTTTGTGCTGGTGGTCTTTAAAATTATTAGCCTGCAGTTCAATAAGATTTGTGCTGACCCTTACAGTTTTAACGAGTTTGCTTAGTAACAAACGGTAAAGCGTCTATGCCATTCGATACAGTTTTTTTCCATTGCGTTGCTCTGGCATCTTCCTACTGGCAGAGTTGGCTTGTACATCTAGGTTCGTTGACACAAACCTATTGCTATACGATTTTTCCAACATTCAGCTTGATGTTAATTTTGGTCTCCCACTCTTAAGTGTCGAACAAATACAACAAATTAGTGGTTGGTATCTATATCTGTCAAGATGGCGTTCACAGCTTTCTGAGGTTTAGCTATTCAATTTCTATTCGTTATTTGCATAACGCAATGTTCCCTTGTATCTCAAATAAGCAGTGACTACATCCCAGAATGTTCTTACTTAGTGTTGTATAGTCTTTTCGTAGCATTATCGCCAAATTTCTCACTACTTTGCACCACGGATGCTTTCATTCTATGAATAAGAAGTCGATGGATGTTTACGTTATCACAATGTGATGAGCTGTATTCTACTATACAACTTTGGATTATAGCCTATAAAGGTAGGTAGGTGCAGTAAAAACTATATGTGGATATCAATGCCTTCAAAGTATCATTTTCTCTTGAGAGGGCTACATATTGAGCGAAGTCTAGGATGGACGAGGATTCTTCGGTAAATCGTGGAATTTTAATTAAACTAACAGTTGTGTGGTTATCTAGAGAAATGGGACATATCTTGGCAGTTGGTCAGCACCATAAGTATAGAGTTTATATTTATCTGCATCACTCATTATTATTGTGGCTTTTAGCGTTTTCAAGGGGAAATCCACTCTGTATTGCGGCGTACAAATGAAAGTTTCTATTATTCTAAATACTGTTTTCTGATGATTTCCTTTTTAACTTTGAGCAGGCTAGTAAGCTCGTGAATTCATCAGTTATGTCATACTGATCTTTCACAAAAGTTTATATCAATTTACGAAGTTTTCATTGTTATAAATATTTTTTAATTGTTATCTCTGAAGCCTTTTTTGCTTACCATTATAGTGATTTGAAAACGTACACACTCCGTTCTGTTATTGTTCATGAAGGAGCATTTCTTCAGTGTGGGCATTATATCACCTATCGTAAATGGCGGAATCCTATGTTGAGTGAGCAAGAGAAGCGTTACTGGTTAGTTCGTGGCATAACCACTTTATATCAATATATTTCAAATTATTTCCAAGGAATACCAACGTCTTCTTACACTTTTGAATCACCATGGATACTGACTTCAGATTCTCATGTAATGCGTGTTCCATTTAAACAAGTGCAATCGAGTCCAGCTTATCTATTATTTTACGAACGTTTATGTGGATCAAAAATGTATTCAAATGAAATCATACCAATGGTCAATGCAAACGGCACAGATCATCCTACTAAAAATCACATCACACTATTATCAATCGAAGAGATTGTCACAAAAGATTCAGAGATATACAGTGATGAAGATGAAAGTGATTCATATAGTTTAAATGATAAACAGCACCGTTTTAAGAAGTTATCAAAAGCAGATACCATTAGAGCTTATGCATCATATGCTTCAAAGTCTCAGATTTATGATAAATCATATGATGTATTCTACTCCCAGTTCGTTCTTTTTGTGTTGAAGGGATATAGTGCTTTAATAACCTAAATAAGCCAGTAGAATTTATCATGTTTGGGTGAAGTCTTCTTGAAGCGTATCTATGTCCGTGGAAGCACCCATCGTAATCGAACTGGGTGTCGTTACTATTAAAGCTTCACTTATTGAGATACCATTTGTGTGTGGGTATGGATTACTTTTTCAGTGTATTGACATTATGATAGCCGTAAGGGCTAAGTTTACTTTTATGCGATAGACACCCTAAATACCGTAGGGAAAATTGTCTTTATGGAATTTTGAAGTTGCTGTTGATATTATACACGTCAGAAAATGCGGTGGATATCTTAATCTATAATGCTTAGTTTTCCACTTTTAGTATCGATATTTTTCATGAGTGACCATAAACATACTTAAGCTGATCAAAGAAATTGCATACTTTACACGTAGCGGTGAATTCTAAAATTTTATTCGATCTTGAAATATCAAAAGTTGTGTGCGCTTTAGTAGTTGATACCATTAGTTTGTTAATATGATCAAATCTTCTTGGCTCAAATCGTTACATCAAGTGTGTAATCAACTTATAAATGAAATGTAGAATTTTATCTTACTGTGGTGTATGTCGTTGATTGAAAGCCGTGGTTTTCAACGAGTCAGAGGTTTGTTAGTAACTCGTTCAAACTACCAAGTTTTGCACAAATAAGTAACATCATTAGGTGTAAGTAGCAACACGGATGTGGTATTTGAGTTTAATTGCCTTGGCTTTATTTAACATGTATTGTTATACAAAATAAGCGTAACAATTCAGCGAACTAATTTCCTTCAGCTGTACTTGTCGTTAATGATAATCCCTGTAATATTATAGATTCAGAAATGTTCATTTTACGATTATCTTGCAGAGCGAAGGTATATAATGTAACTGGTTTTCAGAATGCTTAGACTGCTTTGGTGCACCTCATAGAGATAGGTGTTTAGACACAACTGTCTTGAAAAACTACACATTAAAATCAATACTAGAATCCACTAAGAATCTCGCACACAAGTCCATTGTTTCAACTTGTCACGCTTCATAGTAATATAAAATGACAGGTGAATAGAATAAGAGTGTTATCAAAGTAGACAAGATTGTGTAACAGAATCAACTATTTGAAGATAACGGTTAGTGCGAACATTCAGGCTTTAGCCGACGTCAAGGAGTGAATCTGCGCTTTCGTTGGTTCTTATCATCTTACGGGCCCCAGCCACCCGGTCTACATCTCCCCACACGACTGAGACCAAGAGTTAGAGACTACGTCGGTTGCTGCCACGTCCTTGTCTGACCATCCTGAACCCTCCTCCAACCTAATTTAACTCCCACCAGCATGGCACGTAGAGATAGGTAGGCGGTGGTTTGGCTTGGGCGGTACATGTCCAAACCATCTCAGTCGACTAAGGTTCACAACCTCATCAATCGACTTGCCTAGTTCCCTTCTCCTGACCTCAACATTTCTCACACAGTGATTCCACAAAACGCTAGCAATATCACGGAAAAATCTGTGATCAAAACCCTGCAACTGCTTCATATCTTCTACTTTTAACGGCCATGTTGTGCAGCCGTATAACAGGATAGAACGGAATTCAGCGAGGTATACTCGTCCTTCGATAGATAGTCGGACATCTCACCAGTTGGTGCCAAAGATGACAGTTTGGTAAATGCCAAACGGGCCATCTGCATCCGGACTGAGATTTCGTCAGCAGCCCGCCCGTTAGGGTTAATGCCACCTCCCAAGTTAGGTGTTCGGCACCTTCCATCACTCCACTCTATCACTAAACTGGGAGTGGCTGCACGCCAGTCCTGGAGAATCATCTTACATTTGACATGTGTCAGCGAAACGCATGCCAAACACACTCAGATTTCTGCTCAACGTGTCCAGAATATCCTGCGTTTTTATCTAACAGGACAATATTGTCTGCATACTCCATACCAACCAGATGACATCCAGGGAGTGGATCAATCCCTGTGAAATCAAATACAGCTAAGGCTATGTCCATTAGTACGTCTATGACGAAGTTCAATAGAAACAGTGATAGTGGACATCCTTGGTGGTCGTAAATTCACATGATAACTCTGCATAAACCCTAATACGGCTGGGTGAGTTTCAGTAGAGGGCTTTGATTAGCTTTACATATTTGCTCGGTGCCGCCTTCACAGTCAGGCACTGCTACGACACTTAAGGGTCGACGAAGTCAAATACTATCTTCAAATCTAGAAATATGGCGTACGTCGGTCGCCGGTACGTCTGTTACAAAACCTATCGCATGGTGAAAATATGATCGGTGCACTCTCTTCCAGGTCTGAAACCCGTCTGGTTTTCTCGAGCTCCAGTTAGGCGTTGGGTAACTATTGATCCTAGGATACTGGACACTACTAGTCAAACTAATTTCCCTGTGGCTATCACAGGAAGACTTCTCTCCCTTCTTATCGACTGGCATGGCTAATGGAGATCAGTCTGATGGCACTACCACTGATTCAATACACTACGTTTGTTACTTAAATTAACGATTTCCTATCACCATCCTTGAAAATTTCGGGTGGCAAACTGTTAGGTCCTGTCGCTTTGGATTGTTCCAGCCTTCTCAACTTCAGAGAGAGTTGGGTGGCCGACATCTTCCCATTCAGGTTCAGGCTGGATGTTGGGCAACTGAAGCGTTGCTACAGGCCAGTTGAAGTATGCTTCAATATTTTGTCCGACGTTTTAGCCGCCTCTCCTGGGAGGTTATCAGCGTTCCATTCTCTTCGGTGACAGTTTCACTTACGATCATCTTGTTGGTATCCTTAATAAGCCTAAATAGTTGCCGAGTGTTATCTTCATTTGATGCTTTCCCCATTTAAGTATCTAGACTTTGCGTCAACTCATCATGTGACATTTAAAGTAGGCTTGCTAAAATGTAGCAGGATAAGTTGACCAGCAACAAAATAAAGAAAATAATGTATTTTGAGGTGGATGGGGATTTTAATTTTGAGATAGTATTCACCACGGACTGACATCAGTTGAAGAAACATTGAAAACCTGGAAGCACTAGACAGCCGTTTCGTCCTAGTGTGGGTTTTTTCGGCAGTGAACCATTGAACTCTGACCCAGTGGATGGATGGTTAACGCGTTTGCCGCGAAACCCGAAGGTCCTGAGCCGATCCCTAGCCAGGCCTTGGGTGCGTACTGCTGAGGAGTCCCATACTATGACGAAACAGCTGCCGAGTACCCCTACGTTCTCAGTGGTTCTACAACTGATGTCAGTCCGTGACAAGTACTACCTCAAAAAGAAATAAGCCACTAGAAAACCTTACGATAGTAATTATCCTGGTAAAGGGATACAGAGAGGTGTATGAAACTAAGGCACAGATAGTTAACTTTTGAAGTAAGTACTTGCAGTAATAGTGACATCAAGAAGTGAGGATCCGAAACCTCCAAAAATCTCAGAAATTATGTATGATTTGCAGTGGGAATAGAATTAGAGTAGAATTTAAACACTAAGTCATACAATAAAAAACTTTCCAAACTGAGGGTTTTAATGGAGTTTAAATAAAAGGATTTCGTTTGTCGGACTCCATACAATCGTTGCAAAGTCCAACGCACGGGTTAAAGTATTTGTGAAGTCCAACATGTTCGGAAGGTAGAAAATCTACGCAGGTGCTGAAACACGAACATTCATACAATCTGACAATATGATGGCGAGAAAAAACACTACGGAGAACTCAGTGAAGTGGATAGACAGACTGACTGCTGAAGCCTTATTTACAGACTCACCACCGGACACATGCAATACGAAGGATTTGACACCTGTAGTTTTAAAACTCCCAAAAACATGAAAGATAGAACACTGAAAGCAAGCTTCACATTCTTGAAGTCGATATCGCTAAGGTTATTGACGATTAGTTGTGTTCAAAGCTTTACCTATCAAATATTACTCCTCACTGTAATGTGTGGCAGCTATTTTACAGGGATATTTGTTCTTCCATGGATCCTAAAGTTCGGTCAACCATCTTAAGGCGAATTTTAGAGTAATTACAGTGAGGAGAGTTTGGCGTATCAACATACTTTAACTAAGGGACAAGTTGATAAACTCTTACATTCAAACTAAGTGCCAAAAACTAGATTCACTTACTGCAAAATCAGTGGCTTTCTTTGAATACCTTCTACTGAACAGAAGTTGCCAAAACCCTGCCACACATTTGATGAAAATGTTTCATAAAATCCCCTTGAGCCTGCTACATGCAGTTTTCATGTCAAATGAATATTCTAACAATTGTTCTATCAGCGATGCTATTCATTTTATATCAGTCAACCATCATTTAAGTTCTGGACGGATTTTTAGGGCATACTTCTTTCATAATGTGTGAAAAGATTATACTGTTTTCTCTAGGTGTCATACATAAAAGCATCTCGCCCTGAACAACATTACTTAGAATTTGATATAGTCAAATGGAACGCCGTCTAAGTCGATTAGGCTTTGAAGTGAATGGAAAATGCAGGCATTAACTGATTTCTTATGTCGCAATAACTCCAGAAGCCCCATGAAGACTACTTATTCCTTTACTCATCACGTGAAGTAAACAGAATTAAAGTTTCGAACCAGAACTAATCATTATCATCATTTTCCCTTGGGTTCCTAGTGGGACATAGGGCTTCAGTGTCACGCCTCAATTGCACTCCGTTCTCTGCAGTCTCTTGAACCTCGCTCACATGATTTCCATGTCACCCTCGGACGCCCGAATCGTCGTTTCCCAGAAGTGGTGATATTGATGACTCATTTCGGTTGCAGACAAATGCATAAGACTTAACAAAGCGTATGGCTTGTTTTCAAGTCTTTATATACAGAAGATCACAACGAAGTGAATGATTTAAATAGTGTGTTAATCAGCTAGATGAGTAGAAAAATTAATTTAGAAACCAGTTTAGACAATCATTGCTCTATTTATGATCAACCTTAATAAAGGTTTGCTAACTTTAAAGATGACAGTGAAGTAACCTAGAGCTATTTTTGTCAACCAGTTTGATAGGGCTGCACTTATCGGTCGATTAGTATTTACAGGAACATCAAAATAACATCGGTAATAAATATATTAAACAAAAAAACGTTGTACAGGAAGGTAGATACCACCTATCAAACCTACGACATGAATCTAGTCAGAATAAATTGTTTGGAACAAACGGGTCTGTGAAAAGGTTAAATGTGACCAGTGTTATCGGCTGAGTCAGTCCCCTTACAATGTCTTTTCTTCACCATAATTCCCCTCTGTTCAAACAAGGAATTGTAGGGCTTGCAATCGTGAGTCCCATGAGAGTATCACGAAGTCACTCGACTTTGGTCGAGTATTCATCGAATCCAAGTCTAGTCACTGGTGATGTGTTCTCATGCGTGAAGGGGCGACTCGTTTATCTTATTTTGTGCGACTAACTAGATGTCATGTATCGTTGGATGGCAAGTTTTTGTTCTGACCCCAATAATCAGATAACAGGGCACGAGTACCAGTCTGCAGAACGACTTTGACTTTACGAAATAAAAAAGGTACATACATATGTGATCTAGATTACAGTCTAGCACACTAAGAGCTCCAGTTATGAGCAGAATATACAGGACCACATAAACACCTGTACCCTTTAGAGATGAATCGACTTATAGGCCTGTACGCAACTCAGTCACTTTGTGCACATCCATGCAGTAGATAATGAGCCAGACCTTTTATGTGAGGGCTAGTGGTACCGCGTAGGTGCCCAAACCTCGGTAGGTGGAACGAGACTCGAACCCGTGACCCAATGGTTAATTTGTAGACACGATAAAAAGAGCATCAGAGTAGTATGGGACTGCAAATCACTAGTTTTTTCACTAACATACAGCATAGGATTTCACACGATTCGCAAAATGGATTTCAGTCCGAAACATTTGCTGCTCTGACTATTGCTATAATCAACCTTCCAAGAATAGATTACAGATCTAAGTGGCCAGCGATATGCATAGGTACGAATAGGCGGAAATCAAGTGGGTGCTGTCAGACATTAGTATATATACGGCTTTTTAATACACAAGTACCTTGTGAGACGACCGGAATTAAGTTTACCAAAGTATGAGTTTCCGATAAAACCAGAACGACCACCGGCGAGCAAGAAACAAAAATACTTCGGTGATCATGCGAAAGGAAACACTACTCAGTAAACAAATCTTGTCTTCCCGACAAGCGCTTGTTTATACACAGAAATGGACAGTGCACATCAGTGGCTGTAACCAGGACAACTTCAGCATGAAATGTTAGACACAAGCAGGAATGCGGCCGGTGCTCTCATTTGGAGTATTATCGAGCTTAAAGATGCAGCGTATCTTTGAAAAGGCAGGCAAATAAAAGCAGTGTGCAGGAAATCGTGGCTAACAAAAAAGTATTTAGGATGAGTAGTTATCTTAGTAGGCAGGTGTATACCAATGCATTGTTATCATAAACACAAATTCTAGTACTGAATTGTTTATCTTAAGTCTAAGGAATCATAGAGCTCTGCCATCATGGCATTGGTTTAAGAGAAATAACACCTTCCAAATGAAAAGATATGGAAGTAGGCGAAAGATAGTAGTGCTTAACTTCTCATCGGGTTTAAGGAAAGCCTAAGCTAAGCCATTTTGATAAAGTATTAACATCTGAATCACTAAAGAAGAGTATATTTGGTACTTATATATTGAAATAATGCAGAGAATCATAGTAATAATCACAACTTCGATAATATTATGCTTGTGAACTGTTTAGTTTTTCCCATTTCCTTCTAGATGAATGGGAGGCTATGATGAACACGGACTGTTATAAACGTAGTTGACATGCACAACGGGCTTGACATCTAGGACCTTCGACAATAGTAAACTCAAAGCTGATTCTTTGTTAGAGAGAAAAGAGCGTTGCATTGAATCTAGCTGCTTAGCAGTCATCTGACGACATACTTCCTCAAAAGGGCCGTACTGAGTAGTTACCTACAAAACTCAACCACCTGAGTGCTATCCGCATACCTGAAGCTCGAGAGAATTGAAGTGAGCTTCTTGCTGGGCTTTGAAAACCTCGACTTCTAGGTTTGCTTCTCCTTTAGCCTCCTTGAGGCGTTTCGCTCTCCCTATTTGCATAAGCGTTGCTCGTTGAAAACTTACTGTTCCGAGCTTCTTCGATTTTTGCTAAGGCAGCAGTGCGAGCTTGTTGCAACTTTGCAACCCCATCACTTTGCGCAGCTACCGCCGACATCACAGAGTACGCTTATCGTTTGAAACTGGCGCCTCAGATATTCAGTCAAAAACCTTTATTGGAACTAGAGGAAAATAACAGTTTCTAAGTTTTGTTGGCACAGACTCCTCAGTCTCTATGCAAATCATTTGTATAACAATAATTTTAGCTCTTATGACCGAGGAAGTTACTAGATTTCAGACGCAAGTCGTTCATTTCCGTTATCTGAATACTGTAAGTCTTTCGAAAAAAAATCACCGTTGATATAAAATCTGGGGTGAATACTGTTAAACATCTCGATAACATCTTCGTTTTCTTCGTTGGGCGTGTGACTGATGATTATACCGCTTTGAAGTTACTTGGTTAATTCTTTTTATCTTAAAAGTAGTGTGAATAGTTTGTAATTTTGAATATGCGATGTGAGAGCTCTAAAACTAACATCCTCCTGCGGTATTTCCTGTTTCGTAGAGGTAGTTGCTTCTTAAAAATGAATGATGTTTCTGCTGTATCATGCTGATGGGAGAAGTAACTGACCGGCGAACTTTTCTGCTAGGCAGTCAATAAGAAGTTATCATAGGCGGCGAATTTCCTGTTTATAACACCCTAATTTGTTTCGATTTACTTGAGGGTCTCAGCTGAAAAGATGTGGAAGATGTTTTTGAGTTCAACTGTCCAAATATACACTGGAAAACCTGCCTAGGCGTTTGGTTTTTGGGACGAGTGGGCTTTGCACCACTATTGAGCAGCTTCATCGAACTCGAGGCACTTGGTCATTATGTTTTAGGAACTGTCTCTGTGCAAATCCAACAAAAGCAGAGGCTTATCCCAGCTATTTGCTTTTGTGTCTATGAATGTGGGACCAGGAAAGAATACAACGGTGTTGTCAGATGGGAATAGTATATTTGAGACGTACAAAAATACGGATGCATTCCGACTAGCAGGCCAGAAGGAAGACTGCGAGTGGCCCCGCATAGCAAGATGGTGGGCCAAGTGGCGTGGGCTCTTGATCGTATGCCCTCGGCTTAGCGAGCCCAATAGATCTACGTAGGTCAGCACCAGTGTTTAATTTCGTTGAACCCTGGGCTATTTATTTTAGGGGTTTGCGTGACACTACAATTTTCAGCACAACACATTCTTGTTTTATTCCATCGCCTCAGTTCGTGTGGTCAGTTGTTATCATAACTTTAAGGTATTGAAGACTCCCAGTGCTATCCGCCCGCTACATTTGTGCATGAAATTGCCGGAAAACGTGCGGTATCAGAAGAGACTGCATGGAATCGGGTAACTACCTCACTGGTATGCATGAAAAGTAGACGTAACCTATTGATGCAACCCTGTATAAGTATTACAGACTCAAAATAGAAAAACTCAGCACCTCATCAACAGTGTCGCACAAATGAGCTCTCTTCCTTGAACCTGTGTCTAACTTCATCAAAATTCATTCTATAGTTCGTGAGTGGCTTCAGAAATCACCTGTCGGACAGTTGTCGCTAGCCACTTCTGGCACCAAGTGCATTGGTGTCGCTCCATGAGTTTGAACATATGGTCGCATTTATTCTTTATTATCCAAAGCTCCTTGGGAAGGGAGCGTCATGATGTAGATATTATGGATTGCAGCCTGGCTATGTGATGAATGACAATGCTAGAATATGTATCGTCGGTTCTTGCTTCTGCTGGCCGTTTAACGTAAAATGAGAAAAGAGTTGAATAAATGTTATAATCTAAATAAGGCTAAACTTTGGTCAGCGTGAGGGGCTTTGTCCATGGGAAGCTTCATGTTATCATATGTCAGCCATCGGCAAAGGGAGGTTAAGGGTATTTCTTAATAACACAAAGTGGATTTGTGCTAATGAAAAGCCCTGAACTACCAAAGGGAGAAAAGTCGAGTGAGAAAACCGAATAAACTTAAGCAAAAATGATTTTTTTCCTGAGTGTTGTCGCTGTTTTCACCTCAATCAATCGCGGACAAAAGGATGAATCCTGATAAATTTGGTCGGAGGTTCCGGGAAAAGAGCTCACCTGTATGACACTGTCGATGAGGCGCTAATTTTTCTATTTTAGGTCTGTAGTACACATGCAGGGTCTCATCAATAGGCTGCTGTGCGACATTTCTGACAGACAGGCTTGTAGCGCCACACACTTCCCCAAAATCAATAGCCTAGGGTTTGACGACTTTCGACACTGATGCTGACTTTGATAGTTTAACTGGACTCGCTAAGCTGAAGGCACCCGGTCAAGTATCCTCGCCATTTGGCACGCTGTCGTGTTACGTTGCACTGCTCGTATTCGACTCTCTAGCCAGTTAGTTGGAACGCATCGGTATTTTGGCATAACCATCCAAATATACTATTCCATCCGACTACGCTATCGTGTTCTTCCTTGGTCTCGTATTCGTGGGTATATAACAAGTTCGAATAATTAGTGATTGGTCTTTGCGTCTGTCAAGTTCGCACCAGGACAAATCCTAAATTGGTGAGCCCGACGTGATCACATATCCCGACAATAACAAATATTGAATTGGTGAGCCTGTTCCATTTTATATTTGTTTATTGTTTTCATTTCGATAACATTTATATATCCATTTACTACACTTTCTCATGTCCGACCACACTCCCAAGCTTATTCGTATTAAGCCGACTACGAACACGATCCAACTCGTGCCATATTGGCCAGACAATGCAGAAACATGGTTTCTGTATGCCGAGGCCGATTTTCGAGAACAAGGTGTCTCAGATCCTCATTCTCGATTTCTTGCCATCATACGGTCACTACCGCGAGAATTAAACAGGTATGTTACAGCAAACATGTTTAATCCTGAAGTAAGTGACCCTTATGCACTTCTAAAGGCCACATCTTGAAGAAAAGCGATCTCACAGATCGCCAGCGTCTAGACGAATTGCTTCGTAACATCGAGCTAGGCAGCCACTCAGCTACTGAAGTCCTCGCACGCATGCGAGAAGTAATCGGTGCACGAACATTTGACGATGGTTTCTTCCGAGAACTATTTCTCTCGAAACTACCACAACCGGTGCAAACCGTGTTGGTGACACTGCAGTCAGTCCCACTCGACGACCTGGCAGCCTCAGCAGATAAAATACTGGAGATTTCAGCAGACCCGTCTCCAACGTATATTCTATCTGCGACAAACCAGAGCGCCAGGATTCAGAGGTGACCAAGTTGTGCAACTCTGTGAAACGGTTGCTACGATCTCGAAGTCCTAGATCACGTAGCACTTCACAGAAACGCACCTTGGCGCATCGCAGCAAGTCGCGTGGTAGCCCTAAAACGAAACCCAACAGGGTGGAAAACCCTGAATGGTGCTGGTTTCATAACACTTACGGGATGAAGCCAGAAAATGTCGTAAACCATGCCGTTTTAAGAAGGACACGAACTCGGGAAACGGTCACGCCGGCACGTGCTCACGGCAACCGTAGCCGGCGGAAAAAGCCGTTTGCTCTACGTCACCGACATTAAAACGAAAGTCCGCTACCTCGTCGACACCGGCGCATGCAACGACAAAGGAGCGTCATCTGACCCATCCTTCAATCTTCAAGCAGCCAACGGCAAGGCAATCGCGACATTCGGGAGACGGTATGCCTACCTCAACTTAGGTTTACGCAAACCTATTCACTGGATTTTCCTCCTGGCTGACGTCTCTATGCCCATCATTGGCATAGATTTGCTAAACCATTACGATCTACTCGTAGATGCTCGCCGTCGACGACTGATAGATAACAACACAAAGTTATCTATTGGCGGCACCACCTATGTAGGTCCGAGTTTAGCCATCGTTAGGACTAAACAATCAGGCGACGCGTCCTACCAGGCAGTTCTGGAGAAATATCCAGAGTTACAACAACCGAAGCACACTCTTCCGTGCATAACCAGCAATGTTATGCATCACGTCACAACCACAGGTCCACCTGTGGCATCCAAAGCGCCGTTTAGCCCCCGATAAGCTCAAACGGCGAAAAATGAATTCGACCACATGCTCGAACTGGGCATTATCAGACCGTCAAACAGTCCTTGGGCATCGCCATTGCACATGGTTCCCAAAAAGGATAGCAACGACTGGCGTCCAACCGGTGATTACCGAAGGCTTAACGCCAAAACAACTCCGGACTGCTACCCTATACCTCACGTTTACGACTTGACCGCAACCTTATGCGGCATGAACATTTTCTCCAAAATCGACTTGGTCAAAGCGTACAACCAGATACCTATGGCAGCAGAAGATATCGCGAAAACAGCCATTATTACTCCTTTTGGCCTGTTTGAATTCCTGCGCATGCCATTTGGTCTTCGGAATGCAGCACAAACATTCCAACGCTTTATGGACGATGTCTTCCGTGGTTTGAATTTTGTTCATGTCTACATCGATGACTGTCTAATTGCGAGTCCAGATAAGGAAACTCACCTTAAACATTTGGACCTCGCATTCGAAAGACTCAAAAAACATGGCATCACAGTTAACTTACAGAAGTGTGAAATAGGAGTTGAATCACTCAGCTTCCTTGGGCATACCATTGACAACAAAGGTATACGCCCATTGAGAGATAAAGTGGCGGCTATCACAAACTATCCAGAGCCGACCACTGTGAAACATCTCCGCACTTTCAATGGCCTGGTAAGTTATTACCGAAGGTTTATCCCTAACTGTGCCTCTGTCATGAGACCACCAACAGATCTACTTCGAGGAACTGCGAAGTTCGTGTCTCTGGACAACGCGGCTAGACTTGCTTTCTCTAAAGTCAAGGAAGCCATTTCGAACGCAACCATGCTTATGCATCATGACCCCAATGCTCCTTGAGTATTGCTGTTGATGCATCTGATTCAGCAATTGGAGCAGTTTTGCAACAGTTGACTGACAACCAGTGGCAACCGTTAGCCTTTTTCTCGAGGCGGCTGCAAGACGCGGAAACAAGATACAGTACATTTGGTAGGGAACTCCTAGCCATGTACTGTTCTGTACGCCATTTTCGACATTCTGTGGAAGGTCGTGATTTCATTATTTTCACAGACCACAAACCGTTAACGTTTTCCCTCAGCTCGGCGTC